AGCCTCCTGAGTAGCTGGGATTACAGGCACGCACCACCATGCCCAGCTAATGTTTTGTATTTTTAGTAGAGACGGGGTTTCACCGTGTTGACCAGGATGGTCTTGATCTCTCGACCTCGTGATCCACCCGCCTCGGCCTCCCAAAGTGCTGGGATTACAGGCTTGAGCCACCGCGCCCGGCCTGGTTTTGGGTTTCTATTAATATCATACATTTTTCCTTATTTAAGTTATGCAAAGGGTCATGTGCCTGGGACTGTGTTCTGAGATTCTACCACCATGATTCCTACAGTGACTTTTCCTTTCAGACAAGCAAGCAGTTGGCAGCAGCCTTCCAGGAGGAGTTCACAGTTCGAGAGGACCTGATGGGACTGGCAATTGGGACTCATGGTGCCAACATCCAGCAGGCCCGAAAAGTACCTGGAGTGACGGCCATTGAGTTGGGTGAAGAGACTTGCACTTTCCGCATCTATGGGGAGGTCAGCAAAGGATCTCTTTATTCTGGGTCTCTTAGGGAATAGAGGGAAGAGAGGCCAAAGGAGAAAGCAAGCCTCAGGCTGGGCACAGTGGCTCACACCTGTAATCTCAGCACCTTGGGAGGTCAAAGTAGGAGGATCACTTGAGCCTAGGAGTTTGAGACCAGCCTGTGCAATATAGTGAGACCCAATCTCTATAAAAATTTTTAAATTACCTGGAAGTGGTGGTGCATACCTATAGTCCCAGCTACTCGGAAGGCTGAAGTGGGAAAATGGAAGGGAGAACCACTTCAGCCCAGGAGTTTGAGACCAACCTGGGCAACATAGAGAGACTCTGTCTTTACCCTCCCCCAAAAAATCACAAAAAGACAAAAAACATTAACTGAGCATGGTGGCATGCACTTGTGACCCCAGTTACTTGGCTACTTGGGAGGCCAAGGAAGAGGAATCAGTTGAGCCTGTGAAGTTGAGGCTGCTGTGCACTGTGATGGTGCCACTGAACCAACCTGGGCAACAAAGTCAATAGAGTGAAACAAAAAAAATAGAAAAAAAAAAATAGGCCAGGCGCATTGGTTTATACCTATAATCCTAGCACTTTGGGAGGCCGAGGCAGGCAGATCATCTGAGGTCGGGAGTTCAAGGCCAGCCTGACCAACATGGAGAAACTCCATCTCTACTGAAAATACAAAAAATAGCTGGGTGTGGTGGTTCACACCTGTAATCCCAGCACTTTGGGAGGCTGAGGCAGGTGGATCACAAGGTCAGGAGTTCAAGATCCACCTGGCCAATATGGTGAAACCCCGTCTCTACTAAAAATACAAAAAACTAGCTGGGTGTGGTGGCGCATGCCTGTAGTCCCAGCTACTTGGGAGGCTAAGTCAGGAGAATCACTTGAACCTGAGAGGCAGAGGTTGCAGTGAGTCGAGATTGCACCACTACACTCCAGCCTGGGCAACAGAGTGAGACCCCGTCTGAAAAAAAATACAAAAAATTAGCTGAGTGTGAAG